TTATTTATTTTGAGACAGGTCTTACTGTGTAGTCCATGCTGGCTTTGACTCACTGTGTAGCCCAGTCTGGCCCTGAATTCACAGTGATCCTCCTGCCTCAGCCTGGATTACGGTGCTGGGATTGCAGGCATGCTGCAACATGCCTGGCTCCCAGTTCTTAATATGAAGACCTTAAGTGACTTCTATATGCTCTGGTTGCAGAGTCAAGACGTAGGACATAAAGTCAAACCATTTGTTACCACACAACCTTTAACTCTTTAGGAAGCTGTTTCCTAGTGATGCCATTTCTTCGGATTTCTTTAAAGGTTCTTGGACTCCATTCTTCCTCTCCCCTAGCTTTTCCTCTGTGCCTTTTCTGGGCCATTACATCTGTTATAAGGTATTAGCTGTCACCTATTTTGACTCATAACTCTGGTCCAGATCTCTCTTCCAGTTTCAGACTTCACACTCCTGCCAACATGTCCAAAACTGCTATCTTAATCCTCTTTCCTAATCTGCTTCCACCACAAACCTCGGGTCTTATCTTGTGGATTCCCTGTGTTAAACTTTATGCTGTGGTAAGAATAGCTCTTGGTTGAGTACTTGCTGTTTGTCTCAGATATTGCATATACTATTTTCCTTGTCTAATTTAATTTTCACCACATCTGTTTGAAGTGGGTATTATTGTCCTGTTTTGCTTAGAATTTTGAGAAGTGATGTGTCCCAGGTCATACAGCTTGGAAATAATAAATCTGGTATTTGAACCCAGCTCTCTCTAAGTCCAAGTTTGTGGCTGTTTAAGAGAGGTGTTGCAGTCCCTTTTATGTTACTTATTACTAGTACAGGTATACTCTAAATTTTAGAATATTATGGAGCCCTTTGTGTCTGGGCCTTTCTAGTTTGGTATGTAATCAAGGACATAAAGACAAATGAAATAGTAAGAGGCTATGACTTCTAACTTCTGGGTGTACCTCATTGATTAACCGTTTGAATGCATTGGTTTCTTAGGTACAAGTGTGTCAAGTTCCTTCAGTGTATAGTTGTATTCAGTTGTTCTGTGTTCTTTTTCATTTCAGGTTGGTATAGTGAGATGTACTCTTATCCCCTGAGTTTAGGATATCTTCTTACACAATGTTCTTGGTCTAGAATTCCTTCATCTCCCCTCCTATCCTTACCTACCCCTTCCTTGACAGTCTTCTTAATTTAAGAATTTAGCTCTGGCATCACTTTGTGTAGTTTTCTGGACCTTCTCTTTTTCTGGGATAGATGAAGCCCTCTTGCTCTGTATTCCTTTATCATTACACATATATACAACAACATTTATAGTGTCACAATGTATTAATAAGTATGTTCTAGTTCTGGATGAGCATTTTGGGGTGGAAATCATTTGTATCTGAGATATTTTGGTGTCCATAATACCTAATGAGCTTATTTTGAATTATTGCCTGGCCAAATTATTAAATGTTTGTTTTATTCCTAGTTCTAAGTTTTCCAGACAGTGAAAACTTAAGAACACTGTACATTATTTTTTTTCAAATTGAGGGGCTATTATAATTGATTGTTAATCATGAGATTAAACTATAATTTTTCATCTTTCTATTGTCATATGGCACCACAGCCAAACTGTACCCATTGATAATTTAAAATGCTGTAATAGCTATTGTTATTGTCTTTCATTTTTTTCTGAGACAAGGTCTTGTCATATAGTTAAGAAATCTGGCCTAAAAATCATTATGTAGCTCAGGCTGGCCTGGAACTCAGGGTTCTCAGCCTCTCCAGTGCTAGGATTACAGGAATGTGCCCCCCACAAATAGCTACTGTTAAAAACTGTAACAACATGTACATTTTACTTGTGTTTTAAATAGGTTGGATTCTTTATTACATTAAAAGTTGCACAGAATTTTGAGTTTTAGGTAAATGTTAACTTTCTAAACCCATTTTGTTCTCCAAATATAAACTTAATGGTTTGCTCTCAGGCATTGTAGTAATTCAGGCTATGACTTTTATTTGCACTACTGATGTTATATTTATTCACTGAGGGGCTTTAATTATCTCAAATATTTAATTAAAGCTTTTTCAAGTTTATGACATAATCTTAAAAATTTACTAGTCTGAGTATAAATAGAAATCCAGAGAGGCTTATTTCTTGTCAGTCTCAGCATGGTTATAATTTTCCAAAGTGATTTTCATCAATGACTTTTTCTGCTTTGTTTGAACTTAACAGCTTATTTAAAAAGGCAAGCTCTAAGATAAAAGTGAGTATCTTTTGTCACTTTAAAAGAAATGCTAATAAGGGCTGAGGATGCAGGCAGGTGGTGGAACATTGGCTCCACATGTATGGGGCCCTGAGTCTGACCCACAGCATCACAAAAGTAGAGGAAAATGTAGTAAAACAAACAAAATAAAATAAAAGCAATGTTAAAATGTGCTACGCACGCACGTGTGTGTGTCTGTGTGTCTGTGTATGTGTCTGTTGCGCACGCACATGTGTGTGTGTGTGCGTGTCTGTGTATGTGTGTATGGAAGCTCTTAGACTGAAATATTGACAAGAATAAAGAAAATATGTCGCCTTGTAATAATGAATGATCATTTTCCTTTCAAAAACAAAGTATGTAAAAGATCTCCGTGATTTTGTCCTACAACTGCTGGCATAGCAGATGTTTATTTGTAGATCTTGGACTTGTAGAATAAACCGCCATCTGCTTTCTGACTGAAGTGCTTCCACTTTTGAACAGTTGTCCCACATTCCTGAAATTATCTCTTCATTTCTGGATTTTTTTTTTTTTTTTGCTGTATTCTAAGACTTATGATGGCAAGAACTGTAGCTTTTTGTTTGCACTGTATAATGAGTGCTAAATTTTGTTGGGATAAATAATGCAAACTAAGCCAGAAACGTGGATTGTTTTTTTATAAGTAACTACAGAACAAGTGACATGAATTTAATGTTAAAATTATTTTAAAGTAATTCACTGTGTTCTAGTAATTTGAATTACCTAAAACATATTTAATATGCTCCATTATTCATCTTCTCTGTATAATCATTTACTATATTTTGTTCAAGAAATTACTTTTATTTATCTTGTTGTCATTTATTAGTCTATTAGTTATTCAATTTATGATTATGAATTATTCAAATAATATAATTTGATTCTAATTATTTCATTGCTTCCTTAAGAAGTAAATTCATGTTTTGCGGATTGATCATGCAGATAAAGTTTTCACATGGATAGAGGTACCGGGACCTTACATATTACCTTATCTCTGTAAATTCATAGTCTGCTATGTGTTTCTGTAGTATTTCTGCTACTGTCATTACCAGTGAGTTTAGATGCTGCTGATTATGGTTTACCTTATTCTTAGACTGAGTCAAGTATGGATAGAACTTCATTTGTTGAACCTGCACATAATTTGGCTTCCATATGTCTTCAGTCTTTTTTTTTTTTTTTTGCTTTTTGAGACTGAGTTTCACTAAGTAGTTCAGGGTAGCCTTGAACTCAACGTTGTGGCTCAAGCTGGCCTGAAACTTGCAACAGTCCTCCTACCTCAGCCTCTGGAGTGCTGGGGTTATGGGTTTGCACACCATGCCTGGTAGTATTTGTATTCTGTATTTAATAAATGACCAATTTGGCTTTTTCAAGGCTGAGTTTCTTCTTCCTCAGTTTGTGACCCAGTGACCCATTCATTCCTGGATTGCCTCACACTTCCAATGTTATCCTTTCTCATTTATATGGATCCTGAGAATATATCTGGAATTCAAGGAAGAAGACCTTATCCAAGAAATGTAGGCCTAGAAAAATTAAAGAACACCTTTTACTGCTATCTAATTTGTTTTTAATCTTGTTTGGCTTTACTGCCAATGAAGAATGAGTACATTTATACTGTACCCAATAGTATTGCTGGCTTTTCTGGTCATTTTTTTCGTAGTGTTTTTGTTATTGTTGTTGTTGTTTTTGGTAGCGAAAATTGAATTCAGGGCCTTGGCTTGCCAGGCAGGTGCTGTGCTACTGAGCTACATCCCTGGCCCCTTTTCTTAGTTTTTGACACATAGCCTTGCTCTGCAGTCTAGACTGATGATCTTGAAGTCTCATCTATCCTTCTGCCTCAATGTCCTCCTGTTGAGATTGCAGGTGTGCACCATCGTGCCCAGTTTTCCTTGTGGTCACAATATGGCAGTGCATTACATTATGATTTTCTTTCTCATACCCAAATCCATGGTGGTAATGGGCTGTCACCTTTTTCATGTTCAGAGGCTCAACCTGGAACTGAAACAAGCTTTAATATGGATTGAATTACCAAGTTATAGGATCATTATCATTGGCTTATTTTTTAACACCTTTCCCAGGTTTTAGTAGTTCCTAGCAATTAGTTGCTTTAGTTTCTGATTCTGAATCTTTTATTGATTGGTCATACAAGCTTTGACTTTTTTTTTTTTTTTAACTTACTGGGTTTATGCTTCAGTTATAAAATTGAATTTGATTTTTTTCTCTGCATGGAATTTAGTTATACAGTATTGCCAGAAATACTTTAAGCTTTGGAAATGTAAGAAGCTCCTTTCAAATTATATTAGCACTTAAGTTAGTAATTGTGTTATATTTAAGGTTCATATTTAGTAAGGTGCTACATATGTAAAAATAGTTGAACCTAGGACCTAGCAAAAATTCTGTGCTTTTATAAGATAAACAGATTTGTGATAACCCTGGAACTAGATTACCTAAAAAAGTGACTCTTTCACCATGATAAATTGCTCAGGGTTAGGTTCCCTCTCCCTACCTCCATTTCTGTCTTCCTTAAATTATTTATTGCACAATTTTACTTTATTTGTTTAGAGAACAAAAGGATAACATTTTCAAGATATTTTTCATAAGTTTTGCTTTGACTCTGTACTTCATCATTGCACCTCATAGCATCCAGGAGATTGTTATATGTAGTAGGTTCTTAAATGTTGCTTCAGTGAATGAATTTCTTTTTACTATACTAAATTAACAAAGAATGTGATTTTTGATTTTTTTTATTATTTTAAGAAAGGTGACTCTTGTGATGGTGGGACTTGATAATGCTGGTAAAACGGCAACAGCAAAGGGAATCAAAGGAGGTAAGCTGAAAATATTTTTATGCTTACTGAACTCTTACATTTTTCTGAATTATCTACTTATCTATGAAAATTGCTTTATTATCTACTAATTGGAGACAGATAATATATAGTGCATTTCTTTATATTCTTAATAAACTTGTGACCAATATGAATAAACTCTGGCTTCTTGGTAACAGCTTATTACCATATTTCAGATTTGAATAGGTTCAGAAACTCCTTGAGGTCTTTGATTAGCTTGGAGGGATTATAATTGTGTTCTACTTAATAAGAAGAAAAAAATTATATACTCTTTCCCTTAAGGGTACCCATCTTCAACTTGTATTTTATTGACCAGAATTAAGTCACGTGGCTACTCATACATGAATTGGGGGCATAGTTAGCTAGTATAGCATCTCTTGATGCTTTTTAAAGTCTGATATGTAATTTGTACAATTATATTAAAGGTAGACCTCTATGTCATTAGCTTTGTGTCATTTATGTTAAATCTCTCTGCACATTATTTAATTGATTAGTGTTAATTTAATGCTCTTCTGTACACTATAACGATGCCTAGAGTAGTGAGTTGGGCACTGAGACTGTATTGTCATTGAGGAATCTTAAGCATATGACCTGGGTGAAAAACTTTGAGGTATTTGTTCCTGAAAACCAATGACTGACAAGATAGCTTGCATATTAAATAGTTGGAGAGCTTTCATTTACTGATACCTTAAAACACTTAGAGGAGAACATTGTGTAAGCACAAATTCTGTGTGACAGTGATATAAATTATATAATATTGTATAAAGATTTTCCTCAAAATGTTTTTGGTACCACTTTTATATTCTAGGTTCTGTACATCTTTGCAAAGCATCCAGTGTCATTATCTAAGCCAGGGGTCAACAAAATTTTTATATAAAGAGGCAGTGAATATTTTAAGTTATGGGCTCAACTAGTTTCTTTTTGAACTATACAAGTCTGACACTAGTGTGAAAGCAGCCATAATAATGTGTCAGCAGATGAGATTGGCCATGTTCCAAAGATAGTTTATTTATGGACACTAACTTTCAACTGAATGCTGTTTTCATGTGTGAGAAAATATTTTCAGTCACTTAAAAATGTAAAATACATTCTTAGTTTGTGGGCTGCCCCCAAACAGCAAGGTAGGTTTGATCTGCAAGCCATAACCCTGTGTTTGAATTTCTTTTTTCCTTCCTTTTTTGAAAACCTCACATTCAACAAATCAGGTACTTTAGAATTTCCTAGTCAGACCATCTTAATTTGTTGTGTGTGCTTAACAACATTTTCCTTCTGTTAGGTCTCTGTTCTTATGTATTAGTTTCTTTTTTCTGATTCTAAAAAATGCTCAACATAATGCTTAATAAACTGAGAGTCACTGCTGCCTTCACGTTTGAATTTTCCTGTGCCCTGTTTTTGTTCTTTAACTTATATTTACTGTTCAACCTGCTCCATTGATTGACTACCTTTAAATACTACTTGTAAATTGTTTTAAAAATTGCAACAATTTTTTTGAAGGTTTATTTGTAGTGTTCCAGATTAATGCTCCTCATGTCTTTGTATGTTTTGCTTATGTTATTCCCATGTGTTTCAGATTAATGCTCCTCATGTCTTTGTATGTTTTGCTTATGTTATTCCCATGTGTTCCAGATTAATGCTCCTCATGTCTTTGTATGTTTACTTATGTTGTTCCCATGTGTTATTACTGGAGAGAATATCTATGTATCTTCAAAGATTTGTATTTGTCATGTAGTCTCCTCCTTTATAAAGCCTTACTCCAGCTATTACCACTCCAAACTTGGCTAGTTCTCGTTTTTGTCGTATTCTTGCTTATACATACAACTTAATTGGATTTTGTTTGTTTATTTATCTCTCCACTTTTCCAGACTCTAAAATCCTCCAAGGGCCGTGTTAATAATTTTGGTGTCCCAGTTGTTTAGACCTCAACTCTTCAGAATATGAGGCAGCCTTTTTATAGCATCTCTTCCAGAACTTGTGCTGTCTCACTTTCTCAGTTTTTTCTTTAGCCTATCAGCATGGTTTTTCTTTGTATTTGAATATTGTGGTTTTTTAAAATCTTTTTTTAATATCTCTTTTTTTTTTTTTTTTTTTTTTTTTTTTGGAGACAGGGTATCGCTGTGCAGTTCAGGCTGGTCTTGAGCTCACTTTGTAGCCCAGGCTGGTCTCAAACTCACAAGGAGATTCTCTTCCCTCAACCTCCTGAGTGCTAGGATAACAGGCATGCATTCTCATGCCAGGTTTTTCTTTGTATTTGCTAGTTTTTTTTTTTCCAGTGATTTATCTACTTCCTCTATAAGTATTACTGTTGTTTAAATCCAGAGTCTCAGTATCTTCCATCTATAATGTCACTGTAGCGCCTGCCTTACCTTGTTTGTCTTGTCTTACCTAGTCTTGTCTTACCCTCTCTCAGCCCATCATTCCTTCTTTCCTTTCTTCTCTCCCTGTTATGGTTTGTATTCAGATGGCCCCCCTTCAAGCCTCCTGCAGTCATAGAGGCGGCTGAATCCAGCATTGATGATTGGTTCATTGTCTGATGCTGGGATTGGTGGTGTGAGTATTGCATCCGCCCAGGGGTGGAGCTAACATACAGTGTAAGGGCAAGAAGGGGGATGCTTTGCTCTCTTGTTTGCTGTTTGTGCTTGCTGTTGGTGGTGGCCATAAATGGCAGCCTGCCTTGGAGCCAGCTGAGTATGGATTGAAACCTCCAAAATTGTAAGAAACAAACCTTCCCTTCCCTAATTTTTTTTTTTTTTTCTTTTTGAGACAGGGTCTTACTATGTAGTTTAGACTGTCGTGAGCTTACTTTGTAGCCCAGGCTGGTCTTGAACTTGCAACAGTCCTCCTGCCTCAGCCTTCCAAGTGCTGGGATTACAGGTATGTGCCACCATGCTTGGCGGGCCATCAGGTATTTTTTCTCTACAAGAGAAAAGTAACCAAGACACTCGCCCAACCTTTTTTCTTTCTTTGTGGTAATGAGGATTGAACTCAGAGCCTCACATATAAGTTCTCCCACTGAACTATATTCCCAACCTTTTTTACTTTTTTATTTCAAGACAGTTAGTTGCCAGTGCAGACCTGTAACTCATGACCTTCCTGCCTTTAATTCTTGAGTGCTGGTTTATAGCCCTTTGCCACCACCATTCCACCTTTAACAATAATTTCTTAATCTAGAAGTACCTTCCCTATCATGAATTTTCCTGTTTTTAATATCCACTTCTTCTTGGCTGAGTGATTGTATTGAAAGGGACTAAAGCAATCATGGTTCAATAAAACTGCAGTTTATTTTCCTCTTTTAACAACCAAGACAGGCTGAGTAGCCCAGCATGACTTGCCACGATATTGGGGCTCAGCTCTTCATCCTGTTGGCTTTGCTGTTCTGAGTATTCACCCACTTTGTGGCTCTAGGTAGCTCTCTGCAGTCTGTGTTTGAGCTGGAAGAAGAGGTAAAGGTTGAAGGGAGGCCATTCCCTCTTTTTTTGAGAGCATCAGTCAAAAACAACTGTATGTGATTAATTCATGTAGCACTGACTAAATCTCACACTTGCCTGTTCATTTTGCTCATATTAACTAGCGAGACCTAGGTATGCATATCTTTCTCCAACTTTGTATTCAGGTATCTCACCAGTATCTAGTATTACTTTAAAACTGGCAGTAGTTGGAGTACTTACACCATACAATATATCAGTCCTTCCTACCATATACCTTTTAATCAGCTGTAAGCATTTAACATCATACTACGAGTTAGAATCCTGTGTCATGGCTATTAGCTGCCACTAAGGCTGAAAATGGTAGTCTGTAATAAGTATACATGTGTCTAGAGTGTGGAGAAAGTCTAGGAATCTCTGATTATGTTATAGTGTTTCCTAATACAAAACTACGGTTATTTTGAGTCTGAAAATTTTTCTTTGTAGTTTGGTCTGTAGTTTTATTGGCTATTAGCAACTCTTTTTATCTGTTTTTCCCCACTAGACTAAGATAGCTGTAAGATAAGATGAATCATTGATTATTGTATTGTTGTTGTTGTTGTTAAGTTTTTGAGATAGGGTCTTACCATGTAGTTCAGGCAGGCTTTGAATTCACTATGTAGCTCAGGATGGCCTCAGACTTGTCCTTGGCTGATTATCGTATTTCTTGAGCCTTACAGGCTTAGCAGGTAAATGATCTATAGTGTTTGTTGATCATATGTTTATACTTTATCTTGGCTTTTCTAAATATTATAGTTTGACATACACTTTACTGAGAATCTCAAAATTGAGGGTCATAAATGTAGCTTTGCTTTGTATCCCTGGTCCCTTGTATGATGCCTTTTCTGTAGTACCTTAAATGTTGCAAGTATGGATAGATAAACATGTAGAAAGGCAAAAGAAAGAATGACAGCTTCCATTATCTTATCAGTGTTGTAGTATCAAGGCTTGTGTCCTTTCATGTAAGTGCTAAAGATACAAAGATATGGTCCCAACTGTGTGTTGGGGAGATACAGACTACTATGAAGATTATCTAGGAGTAGGATATTGCAATAGAGGGTGTAAGTGATACTAAAAGTAAGAAGGAATAAGAAAAAGATTTGCAGAGAAAGTAGTTAGTCCCAGAAGCATTTAGTCTAATATTGTGAAACACAAATCTTGAGGAATCAGAGGCAAGAGTAGAGAGTATTCTATATCCTGAGTTTTATAGTCCTGAAGACCTAGATTTCAGTAGTAGGGGGACTTTTAAGTCCTGAGGACTTGGAGTTGAATCTTTACTAACTGACTTTACTGACCATACAATTTAGACAGTTTTCTTCCCTAATCTTAACTGGCTTATTACAGTTACTGCTATCATTTTATTTGTGCTTATATTGTTCACTCTGCCCACAGTATTGTTCTTCCTCCTGTGGTAGTTTACTTAGCTTCACATTCTGCTTCTCTGAAACCTATCTAGTCTAAAACCTAGCCCTGCCTTTTTACATCTTCCTCTTGAATTCTTGTACACTATCCTTTCCAGGCTTTTTCACAGGACAGGGACATTTTGTTATACGTTTCAATTTATCTTTGTTGTAGTATATGTTTTGCTACCCAGTGTCCATCAAAGGAATTTTCTGTAGTAAGGGCAATCGTCTATATTGGCTGTGTCTAGTGGGGTGGGCCACTAACTATGTGTGGCTTTTGAACACTTGATGTACAGCTGGTATAACTAAAGAATGGAATTCTTAATTTTATCTCATCCTAGTTCATTTAAAATGTAAAATCCTCATGTGTGTTGGCTATTATTTTAGCCCTGCAATGCTAGACTCATATGGAGTAACATTTCTAGTAGATTCTAGTGAATTAAGTAGGTGAAAAAAAAGACAAATCTTGCACTTTTTTTCTGTAACCAATGAGGTTTTATTAATCTTTAATGAGTTCTTCTTTTTTGTTCTTCTGTGGAAAGTAGCTTTCACTCACTTTCATTTAGCTTAAAGACTTCTGCAAGATAAATCTTAATAAAGTACCACTTTAATTGCATGATTAGTCTATCAGATACCTTCAGTGTCTCCCCATTCCCTGTCTTCAGAACCCTCCTCATTCTGGTTTCAGTCTGAATTCATATTCACTTGCCCCAGCCATAGTGTTTAGCTTGTTACATCTTTTTTTTTGTCTTTTTCTTTTTTTTTTTCCCCCGGTACCGGGGATCTAACTCGCGACTGCCTGCTTGCAAGGCAGGCGCTTATGCCGCTGAGCTAAATCCCTAGCTCCCTGTTGTTACATCTTTTACATTTCCATCTACCCTATTTAAATTGCTCTTCTGCATGTTAAGTCCCACCTAGCTTTCATGTCTAACTTTCATCTTCCCTAAGAAGTCTTTTATGACAGTCAGGGATCTTTAAGAAAATTCTCTGTTGTCTATCATGACCACTTTTTGGCAGTTATAATTATATACATCCTATACCTTCTTTGTGTTACCAAATATGGAAACATACCCTCTTTATAAATTATTGGAACATCCAAACCATGTTCCTATAGAGAAAATGAGCTTTACTTGTTTATTTTTCAAATAGCCCTCAAAATTCTCTTTATTCCAAGTTTAGCTTTAATTTGTCTAGTTAATAAAGGGTTGTCTTACTCTTTGTTTACTTCTCCATTATTATTATTTTTTTGATTCTTCTAAACTCGTTGTTCTTTAAATGTTCATGGTTTTCTTTATAATTCCACAGAAGTTATAACAGTCCCTGGGAAGGCCTATGGTATTGAAGAACTGAAGTCTTTATTGCTTGTAAATTGAAGGATAAATAGGCTTAAAGGCAAGAATTCATTCATTTGTTGTGAAATATCTGCTGTGTGTTAGGTGCTAGGTTTATTCCAGTTTCTTTTTAAATTCCTATTTGCATGGAGTGAAAACTCTCGTTGAATATTTTCTATTATCTAGTGTCTGCCTAAATGAGTAGATCTAACTAGTTTCTGCTGCATAAGCAAATGATAAATATCCTATTCAGTACTAAAGTATGATGGATAACAATTTTTATTTTTATGTCATGTAAGTTATAAAGTTAAATTAATGTTATTAACTTAAAGTCTGAAGATTATTTCTTTTGTGTCATTTGAAACAGAGCATCCTGAAGATGTAGCTCCTACAGTTGGATTTTCCAAAATTGATCTTAAACAAGGAAAGTTTGAGGTCACCATCTTTGACCTGGGAGGTGGAAAAAGAATTCGGGGAATTTGGAAGAATTACTATGCAGAGTCCTATGGGGTAATATTTGTTGTGGATTCCAGTGATGAAGAGAGAATGGAAGAGACAAAAGAGACAATGTCAGAAGTGCTAAGACATCCTAGGATATCAGGAAAGCCTGTATTGGTGTAAGTAACATTTGTGTTATTGTAAATCTAAAGACAATAACATTAACTAGTGAAGTAGTTTATCTGTTACAAAATATTCAATAAGAAAATAGTTGTGTTCTAGTACAATAAAATATGCACAGTAAACTGGGAGTTACTAATACACTGGGGCCTACTTAAAACATTGTCTGCAGGGATGAAGAGTTAAAGGTTTATTGTGAACAAACCTTGTAATTAGATCTCTTGGGTATTCAACTCTGTTTTACTTAAACATTTACTTTTTAGTAAAATTTGCCTTTTGAAATAGTCTGAACAGACTTCTAGAATAATTTTCAATTTTTTCTCTTGTTTAATAACATTTTTCTGTTGTCTTTTTTTTGGAGAGTATTTGTATTTGAAAAGTTACTTAAATGGCTTGCTTTTTTAATGCCACTTTGATTTCTCAATCCTTATAAAGTTCTACCATTGCATGTTGCATTTATAATCTATATCATTTTGTCCCACTGCATAAATAGTTTAAAGATATGACAATGAACTTTTATGTTTGTAACATTTAGGCATAGTTAACACAAGATGGCGCAATGAATATGCAATCAATTAGTTTAACTCAAGGTTAACTGAACATTTGCCTTTGCTGTCTCATTCCTTTTCTATTACTCTTTAATGTGCAAAAAGGCTTTCTTTTTTAGTCGACTCGTGTCATGTGATTACATGTAAAACTTTATAGTTTCTCAGTGCCCTTCAGGAGTAAGTGAATATTTTTAAATGTGGCAGTTTGGAAGCTTTAATTACAGAAGTCAAAACTTTATACATCACTTATTGATAAAGTTTATTCAAAATTTTTAGACATTTAACTCAGGGAAGTTACTTGATTTATAATTAATTCTCACCTTTATTGAATCTGAAGTTAACGTCAACAGACACATAGTGAACTTTGTTGAACACACATAGGCCAGATTAGTCTATAAATGTTTAAGCCGAGAGTCAGTGATTTCTAAAGGACAAAATATGAATGACTATTGGTCATTTGTAGAATAATTGTGTGTACATTTTAACCAAATAGGCTTTTAACTTGCGTTACTTTTTCTTTTGTGCATTTATTCATTCATGTATATTCAGTTTAACACGTTTTGAACACCTACTGTGTGCCAGCCATTCTGGTGAGAGTATGTGTTTGGGACCAAAAACACAACTCTGTATGCCTTTCTGGAGCTTACATTCTAGGGAGAAAAATACCCAGTAAATACAATTAATAAACCATGTCTTGTATTGTGACGAGTATGTTGAAAAATGGCTTCCATAAAGGGAGATGAGGAGCGTATGGTGGAGTGATGATAAGAACATAGTGCTCTTATAGTTCAGATAATCCTTGTAGGCTTTAGGGAGGAAATGAGACTTTGAAGAGAGGGACTCAGTCATGTAGATATCAGTGGACAAGCCCCAGAGCATTAGTACACAATTGTTAAGTGACCACAGTGATTACCTAGTAATCAGATAACTGGCAGCAAAGTCTATTCTTTCAGTTCTGTCATCTCTGACAGCTAATGAATTTAAACAGAAAAAACAAACAAATAAGCATGACTATGTGTATTGGTTTACCATTTTAATTTTGTAATCAATGAGAATTAACAAAGACATTAGAATTTATTGTGGTTATTATAACATGTTTTTAAAATATAGGATGTTTTGCATTTGAGCAACTTTTTTCATGGAAGCTTTTAAAATTCATTTTTACTTTGACATGTATAATAGTAATTGTACACGTTTACGGGGCAGAATGTGACATTTAATGCATGCGAACAGTATGTAATGATTAGAATCAGAGTAATTGGCAGATGTGTCAGTTCAGAGATTTTTCTATTTCTTTGGATTGGAGCATTAAAAATGTTTTCTACTAGCTACTTTGAGATGTTCAATTAATTGTCATGACCCATAGTTATCCTTCTGTGCTATAAAACATTAGACTTCAGTCCTTCTGTCCAGAGAGTACTGTACCTTTGTGTCTATTTATAATCCTCCTCCCCTTTCCCCTTCCCCATACACTTTCCAGTCTTAGGTAACCACTGTTGTATTTTTTATTTCTTTGAAATCGACTTTTTAGCTACTACATGTAAGTATTGCGCTTTCTATGCCTGATATTTTGCTTGATACACTGTGCTCTAGTTACATTTATGTTGCTACAAAGTGACAGGAGTTTATTCTTTTTTATGACTGAATAATGTCTCCTTTTTATGTTGTAGTTTATATCTGGATATCCCCCAAAATCTTCATGTGTTCATAGGTAGGACTGTTGGAAGGTGATTGACTCATGGGGGTGATATGGTTGACTTGCTATTAAGCAGTGGATCTAATTAGAAGAAACAGATCACTGGAGTGTGACCTGAAAGGGTATATTTCCATTTCCGGTTCCTTGCTTCCCTCAGTCCTTCCTGGATACCATGATGTAAGTAGTTTTTCTCCTCTGTGAAGTCTTTCTAACCTGCTACTTCAGTCTGGAGCCATTGGATGCTACAAGGACTAAAACTTCTACAACTGAACCAAAATGAATCCCTCCTCCTTTAAATTCCAGGTGACAGGTATTTTGTCCCAGCCATGAGAAAGTGACCAACACTACAATTTTTTATCCATTCATCTGTCAGTAGTATCTTGGGTGATTGTGTATCTTGGCTCTTGGACTAGTGCTTCAATAAACATAGGTGTATAGTACTTTGATATAATAATTTCAGTGTTCTTACTTATTGCTGATCTTTTCAGGTTTTCTATAGCTTCATGGTTTCTGTGTTTTCATAGTAATCTTGGTAGGTTTATATGTCTCCAGAAATTATCCACTTCTTAAAGGTTTTCTGGTGTATTGGGTAAGTATTCAAAATGATCCCTAATGAATATTTGTATATCTGATTTCTTTATTGGAATTTTTTCTATTTCTTTCTTAGACTTTATCTCTCAAGAAATCTGTTGTTTCCTTTATTTTGTAGTTTTTGGTCTCTATTTTTGCTTATTTCTGATCTGATCTTTCTTATTTCTTTTCTTGTACTAATTTTGGGGTTGGGATGTTTTCTGATTCCTTGAGTTACATAATTACACTGATTGTTTGAAGTCTTTGCATTTCTTTTATGTAGGTTCTCGTTGCTAGAAACTTTTTAGTATTCCTTTTGTCATATTCCATAAATCTTATTATATTCTGTTTTCCTTTGTTTCAACAAATTTTTAAGGCTTTCTTTTAATTTCTTCTTTGACCTGAGATCTTCGCAAGAAAATTTCATGTAGTTTTTATGTTTCTGTACAATTTCTAAAGCTCTTTGTGTTGATTTCCAGCTTTATTCCACCATGCTCAAAGATGATATGTGCTGTTTCAGTGTTTTTGAAGTTCTTATGTATTTGTTAATCTAACATGGTCTATCTTAGAGAATATTCTGTGGCTGATGAGAAAAATATATGTTCTGCCATTGTGGGATGGAATATTCTATAGAAGTCTGTTGGATGATTTTTAAATAGTAAAAAGTTTTATGTTTCTTTGTTGATTTTTAGTCTGGATAATCTCTCCATTGAGGAAAATAGGATGTTGGAATCCTTAATTATTATTCTAATAGTCTGTGTTTTCTTGAAATCTAGTATTATTTGTTTTGTATATTTACATGTCTAGATATTGGGTACACATATATATTAAAATTGATATTTTCTCTTGAATTGATTGCTTAGTGATCATACAGTGATTTATCTCTTTTTGTACTTTTTGATTTAAAGTCCTTTTTATCTTTTATGAGGAAAACTATTTTTATTTGCATTTGGCTCCCATTTGCAGATGTATCTTTTTTCATCTCTTCACTTTTAATCTCTCTATCTATCTATCTATCTATCTATCTGTCTGTCTATCTATCTATTGATGAAGTGATTTCCTTGCAGGCAGCATATAGTTTTGTCATGGGCTTATTTTTTAATCCATTTAACTAGGCTATCTTTCTGTTGGGAAATTTAATCTATTTATATTTTCAAGATTATTATTGAAAAGTTAAGAACTATTTCTGTCATTTATTTGGCTGTTTTGTATATTCTTCCTTTCGTCCTCTCCTATTCTTTATCTTTGTGGTTTGGTGGATTTCTGTATCAATAGTATTTGATGCTGTTTAGTTTCTCTGTTGGGCATCTGTTCTGTTGTATACATTCAGGTGTTTTCCTGATGGTAGTTATCATCCTTTTGCTAATAGTGCAGGTCTCCCTTAAACATTATTTGTAGGGACAGTCTGGTGGTGATAAATTCTATCAATTTTTGCTTGTCTTTGGAAGAATTTATCGCTCTTTTATTTCTGAAAGATAACTTTTCTGGATTTCCTATTTTGAATTATCAAGTTTTTGTTTTGTTTTGCTTTTTTTTCCCTCTTAACCTATAATATTTCTCCTGGGAAGTTTGTTGTCAGTCTAATGGGGGTTACCTTATATGTGACTTCACACTTCTATTACTTTTAGAATTCTTTCTTTGCCTTGTACTTTTGACAGAAATGAATCATTTTTGGCTTAAGTCTATTAGGGTTTTTTTGAGCTATTTGTATCTGAGTATACATAAGATTTGAAGTTATTGGCAGCTTTTTTGTTGAATAGGTTTTTTTTTTTTTTTTTTTTTTAATGAATGAAAGGATCCAGGTTTTTAAAAATTTTTTGTTTTTTTGGTGCCAGGAATTGAACAACCTTGTACCCGCCAGGCAGGTGCTTACACTGCTGAGCTAAATGCCCAGCCCGAATAGGTTTTTTCTTAATGCTTTTTCTTTTCCTTTCTCTTTTTTAGAATACTCATAATATAGTTTATGCTTTTGTATATCATCTATTAATGATGTTCCATAATTCTTCAAGGCTTTATTTTTTATGGATTGTTTGTGTTGGTCTAATTGAGTTATTTCTAAGGACCTTCCTTGGCACTCAGAACTCTTTTCTTTTGCCTAATTTATTCAGCTGTTCAGGTTCTTGTCTGTACTTCTGATTTCATTTATTTAATTCTTGGGCTACAATGTTCACGAATTTTTGTTTTG